AGTGATGAAGAAAATATACACAGATCCGATTGAATAAGAATATAAAACCTGAAATCCAGCCTGTTGAGAAGATAACCAAAGCAACTAGACTTCAGCTTGCTTACCATCTCATTGCTAGAACCGCTGTACTTTTTCATGGTTTTTTCTTGAAGATTACCTATCACAGCATCTGCTACAAGAGCTCCAGAGATCATCAAATAACCTCTCGAATCGAAATTCGGAGAAACATGGCTGTCAGCCAATGTGAACATGATTAAGCCTAAAAAGAAGTCCTTATACTAAGTAAGACATTATATATCTAGGAATTAAACACCATATCACTAACCAATGCTCATAAGCACAGCCGCTGAGACATCCAAACACCCATATCTTTTCCCTTGTATAATGATTCCTCCTATTAGGACAGGTATAAGCTTGCAGCATTTGAAGATAACCTACAAAGTAGCAGAGATTGAGCTGTATCCATCAAGATATGGAAGGCTAAGCCAACAAAAACAGTTGAGTTCTTGGACAAACATTTCGCCAGTCATGTCTTGAGAAACAACAAAACCCGCAATATCAAAGAAATTTTATGAGGCTTTATGACTTTGAAACATTCACAAACCTGAGTAGGATAGTTAAGATAACCAACTGACGCGTTTGAAAGACCCATTGTACCCACAGTGAAGAAGGCCAGCAAAAAGTACATTGCTAGAGGTATTCTAGAAACATTTGCATTAAAACAATCCAAAGATAAGCTAAAGAACATGCTTGTGATAGGTTGCGTTTCATGTTCATAATAAATGAGCAGAAAACCGATAGGAAGAACAGATAACTGTATAGTAACTAAAATCAACACCTAGTCAATACTGGATCAACCTACTTCCTACTTCTTTCGTGATACATGGACCCTTCTGCCCATCCGCAGATACTATATATAATGAATTGAACTAGAGTGAGGTACATTCCAAACGGCTTCATTCCAGGAAGTTTGAATATGAGCTCCTTAAACGTCGTATGCAGATTATTAAAGGTGATTCGTAAGGCAAATTTCAAATAGAATGGAATAGATTCAAACTGCCGCAAACCTGCATGTAACCGTAACCAACATAAAATACAAATATTGCGATTGACAACAACGTAAATTGGAGCCATTTAGGCCTGAAATGTGAGTAGTCGGTGAATTTTATATATGAAATTTCTTAGCGTTTGGCTGTAGAGACAGACTACAAGCAA